CTACTCTAAGCACCCAGGCCACTTCAGCTTAATGAAGTGGTCTGGGTGCCAGGTCCATCTAGGATTAACCCTTTTTTTTAATAAACATTGCAGTTTCAGAGAAACTGCTATGTTTATAATAGGGTTAATCCAGCCTCTAAAGCCTCTAGTGGCTGTCTCATTGACAGCCGCTAGAGGCGTTTGCGTGCTTCTCACTGTGAAAATCACAGTGAGAAGAAGCAAGCGTCCATAGGAAAGCATTATGAATGCTTTCCTATGAGACAGGCTGAATGCGCGCACAGCTCCTGCCGCGCATGCGCATTCAGCCGAAGAGGAGGATCGGAGGCGGAGAGGAGGACCCTGAGGGTGGGGGCACCCTCAGGGCACTATAGTGCCAGGAAAACGAATATGTTTTCCTGGCACTATAGTGGTCCGTTAAGATCAGGAGCCCCTCTAAAAAAAATTTTGTTTTTTTTCTGGTAATGTTTTCATCATCTTTCAAAAATTTCCAGTATCTGTTAATATTTTTTTTCTTTGCTTATTTTTATTATCTAGTACTATTAGCAAACTCAAGTTTGGGCTTGTCTTATTATTTTATCAAATCCTCCATTTGTAATTTTGTTATATTGTCTTGTGTATTTTGGATGAGTTGTGATTTCTTTTCAATAAGTTGCCTCTTTAGAAAGTTTTGCCTATTTTGTATACGTGCAGTTTCTTTTTAATCTTATGATTTTGCTTTTTGGAACACATTTTAGCCATGGTTCGTAGTGGCCGCTGGTATAATTAATAAAAGTGTTCGTATTAACTTTTTTTTTTAAAAAGGGTGCATGTTTGTATTCTATGTATATTTGTAGGTGTAAAAAAAAACAACACTTTTTATTAGATCTGTGGTTAATATGATCCCTTTGTAAAATTATTTAAAATTGTAGGAATTTTCCTGATTCTGGACCATTTAAAGAACTGATAATTCATATATCTTCTATAGGTCAGCAGGTTTGCAATCCAAGGGTGGCCATCCCAAAAAAATACAACTTTCCCAATCAGCCAACCTGACCTGCTAAAAAAAACCAACTATATATCCCTAGGCAGGAATTATTCCTCCCAAGCTTGAATCTCAGAGCTGGTTTAAAAGTACCTATAAATGTAAGGGCTTTTCCATATTCACCCTACCCAAATTTCCAGTTATACTTCACCATTGGATTTCTTTCTGCTTTCTTACAAACCCACCTATTTGAAGCGCAACCACCAACACATTGTGAGAACCCTCTGATAATTCTTTGTGATTACAGCACCAGCATGGAACCTACCTACACATGTGGTGGACTTGTCCTAAGGTGGTGACCTATTGGAACAAGGTGAGGGATCTTTTGTCTGCTGTCATCTAGAGGTCATTTGTGCTAGGTCATTGGTTGTTCCTTAGTGAACTGTATTGTTAGTAATGCCTTCAAGGTTCTTTACAAATACCTATAAGCAAGGTTTTTTTAACCTTTTTTAAATTTTATTTATATATGTTTATGTAGTGTTATATTTGTTGCTTTTATACTAACATTCAGAACCTGTGTGAAATATTGCAAGATAAAGGAAAGTGTATAGTCTAAAGTAGGCTTCCCCAAACTCCGGCCCTCTAGATGTTGCTGAACTACAACTCCCATGATTCTCAGCCTATTTCATTCATAGAATCATGACAGTTGCAGCAACATCTGGTGGGCCAGAGTTTGAGGAAGCCTGGTCTAAAGCAGTCATACTGTCAGACAGCCACTAGAGGGACTTCCGGGTGGATAGGCGACTTTTGGTCGCCTAAACGACGCTGGACGTCCTCACGCTATGCATGAGGATTTCCAGAGTCACCAGAATCTTCATAGGAAAGCATTAAAAAATGCATTCCTATGGGGAAATCCTAATGCGAGCGTGGCCATTGCGTGAAGCGTGGGCGGAGCTGAGCCAGCACCGAGGGACAGGTAAGTAAAAAAAAAAAAAAGGGGGGGACTGCAGACTGGCACTATAGTTTCCCTTTACCGACTTATTACTGTGAGTATTATTGCTGTGTAGCTCTGTTATACACTCACACATCAACAATAAGGGTCTCCTAGTAAAGACAGACATCAGGATAGAAAAGAGAGACAAAGGGATTTACCGGTAGATAAAAATAAAATAAGGAGCAGTTATGTTCACTTCTGAAATATTTGTTATGAAGGCTGAACGAAAAAATATTTTTTTTCTCTTTCTTTGTTTTAAGTTTGCCTGCAAAGCAGTCTATAAACAAAATTGATATATGTTTACATGCTAGCTAGAAATCCCTGTACTAACATTTTTTCAATCAAAAAATGCTCGGTTGTGAAGGGGTTAAACTGAATCTCCTGTGAGTTTACCATTTGGGCAAGTATACCTAATTAAATGGATATCTATTGCATCACATGCTCAGTTTCAGAGCTGACTCATCCTCATAGCTGACTTTCTTAGGCTTATTTGCTGAACTTGAAAAATTGTGTGGAATTAAAAAGGAAATTAGAATTGTATGCCAAAATAGCTCAGACATTAGGATTGCGTCCTACCATGTGTTCGGTCCTCTTTGCCTGCTTAATTATAAGACCTTCTCGGATATATTTGCTATCTTTCTTGCTTCTGGAACGAAATCCAGACCTGGAATTCTCCACCATGTAGCCTTAAAGGGACTCAATAGTCACCTAGCCCACTTCATCTCATTAAAATGCACTGGGTGCAGTGTCCCTATCCCACTTTGTCCTGCATTGTAAATTATTGCAGTTTTAGAGAAACTGCAATGATTACATTGCAGAACTAAGACTGCCTCTAGTGGCCGCCAACCAGACAGACACTAGAACAAGGGTGTCCAAAACGTAGATCCCCAGATGTTGTAGACTTCCAACTCCAATGATGTTTTGTATGCCTTTAGAATAACAAAGCATGGCAAAGCATCATGGAAGCTGTAGTTTTAAATCTGGGGACCTACCTTTTGGACACTCCTGCTCTAGAGTTACTTCCTGGATGCTACCAGACTCCATGTCTCCTAAATGAGACTGGACGTCCTCATGCTCTGCATGAGGACATCCAGTGTCAGTGAAATCCCCATAGGAAAGCATTGATTCAAATAATTAGTTTAATTTTTTGTGAGAAATTGCCAATTTATATAAATATAACTTCTATAAATGTTATAAAGGAAAGGGGAGATCAGGTAGCTTAAATGGTCTATATTTCATTCTACTCATTTGCTCTACAGCAGGGGTACCCAAAAGGTAGATCCCCAGATGTTTTAAAACTACAGCTTCCATGACGCTTTGTCATTACAAAAGCATTCTAAAGCTGCACAAAGCATCATGGGAGTTGTAGTTCTACAACATCTAGGGATCTACGTTTTGGGCACCCCAGCTCTACAGCGACAGTGTAGATTATCTTTATAAGTTCTAGAGTATTCACCAAGCCTGTATGAATCCATCCCTGCTATCACACAGTCCAATTACAGGCTTCTCACAGAGGCCTGTTTCACCAGCTCAGAGCGCATGCAAGGGCAGAAACGCTGCACATACAGGCTCTTCCAACTATGACCACTACAACTCACTGAAGTGACTATAGTAGTTGACTAACCCTTTAACCCCTTAGGACACATGACGGAAATATTCCCTTTTATTCCAGAAGTTGTGTCCTTAAGGGGTTAAGGAAGAAATGAAGTACAGGAAACTCCTCATGACCATATTGGTAATGGCCTACATGCAGCATCTGTATTATGTAGAAAGAACATATATATATATATATATATATATAGTTGTATTATATAGAATCTCAACGATGCAATAACTCCTCCCCTCTGTTTCTTACATCCAATCTGAAGTGTTCAGACAATGTGCAAGAAGCTTTGAAGAGAACTTTCACCTCAAAAATATTCTTCAATGTAATATCACTTCAAGAAATAGATTTTTTTGTTTTTTAAGTGAGACAGAAACAAAACACATCCCCACCTTTAGTGTGTGATCGGATCCTTCAGCCATATACTTGCACTTTGGGCTGAACATGTTTGGATTTGACAATCAGATTTATGATGTCACCACATTGTGCAGGGAGTGAAGCAGGGAAGACCACATATACTAAAAAGGTAAGGATGATATTTGTTCCCTCATTTTTGTTACATATGCTTCTTTAAAAAAAAATTCACTTTCAAAATTTGATGATAGGATTATATTAAAAATAGAGTTGATGTGACTGTTGTCCTTTAGTGCATGCTTTTAAATACATGAACATTATATTCCTGTATGTAAGAGAAATCAGGGGCTTTTCACACAAATGTATATCTTATGTTCAATAAATCAAGGTAATTGATTTAATATAGATGGAGATAATGGAACAAAATGGAGGTGCTCAGATGTAGGATAATGGTAAATATTGTGGCATGGACTTAATTTATTTTCATTTCAGACCTCACAAGTTATTACAAATAAACAGAAATGTCAGGGTTTTTAATTTATGCTATAGTAAGGGGTAGCATCAATATACATGTACATGAAACATCTGGATTCATTGCAGCTAAGCACCAATAGTTACGCTGTACAGAGACTTTTTCCAACAGACAATGAATGCAGAATTAAGATATTTATTAAAGGACTATATAGAAAAACTTATTTGTGTGACGTATATTTTCTATTATCACAACAGATGAAGTTCAGATCACAAAGCAAAGCAAAGCAATATGGTAAGGATTATTTTGAGTGGTTTACCATAGTAGTGCAAAAGGGAATATGTTAAAACGTGTATAAATTGTGTATTCTAGTGGTGTTACTTTGTGTTTGAATTTACACAACACATACTTCTCGTATGACAAAACTGTCCAACTCCTTCTAGTGTTTAGATCACAACATCAGCCCATCCCGGGATCACGCCCTCGCCGACCACAAATCCCACAGGAGACGCTGATTCATGTATTATATAGAGTGCTCACCATCTCGCATCTCGACGCCAGCAGTAGAGCAGACAGAGACCCAGGCTCCTGTTCTCCCCCCTTCCCAGTGTCTGCCCCAACAAAACACACAAACTCATCACAAACCATACACAGATCTTTATTCCTGCTACCATCAGAAATAAACAATTTTTTACCATGAGAGTGAAAGTTCTACATCAGAACAGGTTGTTGCCTACATGTGCAGACATGAAGTTTTGAAAGCACCAAGCCTTGCACTGAGCATTCACTTGACCTATGGCTATAGCAAATCAAGATCACATTTTTATCCTAGGTCAAGTTCTTGCAAAAGCTCTATAGGAACAACTACAGGTAATGTATACCACATGTTTAATTACAGACCTCTTATAGGTGGATTATAACCAGAAAATAATGAAGGCATAATAATATGTACAAAACATGTTTTGTGGTTCCAGCACCTATTCTTTCTGGTCTGTGCAGTTACAACACTGTAGCATAACTAAATACTAAAAGCAAAATGTAGATCCTTCCAGCAGCCAATGGAATTTCAAACCAGGAATTGCAAATAATTGACAGATAATTACAAAATTTAGTCTAAAATTGATACATATAAATAAATACATCAGTTGAAGAGAAGTCGAAGATTAAGGCAACATTTTTATAAAGAATATATGAACACAGAATAAGTTATGAAACGTGTGCCTGTAGACTGGTACATACTGTGTTGATCACTGCTGACCTAGCAAAGCATTGTGGGAGTTTTTATGCTGCAAGAGCTGGAGAGCTTTCTCTGGTCTATTCCAGCTGTGCACAACACTCAGAGTGACCTCCTAATGTATTCTTAAAGCGGCACTGGCACACAAAACTTACCTATCTCCTATGGTTTCCTCTGTTCTTTTCTTTAAAACATAAGACTACTTTGTCTTTTGTATTTTTCCTACGCCTGACCTTCTCTGACACAAGGAGAAGCTTAAGTCGGCTCGATTTCCTGGGTCACAAAACGTTTTCCCACAATACTCACCCTTCACAGGAAATGGAGCTGAGCTCCTTCTTTGGTCAAAGAAGGTCAAGCGTAGGAAAAAATACATAAGACAAAGTAGTTCCTACTTTATCTTATGTTTTAAAGAAAACTAGATAAAAAATAAAGAAAAGAACAAATTCTGAGATTTTGAAAATATATCTATATATTAAATATATATATATGCCCATCAAAAATGGTCAAATGTAGAATCATTGTATTGTTTGTGTCGGCTTTGCTTAATTGGTCACCTTTCTAAATACCTTTGCTGATCATTGCCATGGTTTTATCTGAAGATGGTGAACTCAGAAGTGAGCTTTGTAGGAGGTTTGACTTTAGCTTTAAGGGGTCAAGGCAGAGTTTTTTAGGAAGGTCTGGACTGCACCAGGTGATACCATCAGAAGGTATGTCCTTCCATGCATCGCAAGCAGAGGATGTGGGGCTCCTAAACCCCAAATCTCTCCCCCACCAGTAGCCTGAAGCCCATAATCTCTAGTTTTGTATTGCTCTCCCTGCCTAGTCTGCTCTGTGAGTTACCAAGACTCATGGAGCAGAAAGAACAGGGAGGCACTGCATTCCCAAGCAGTTGTCGCTTCCTTTTCCCTCCCAACTGGTTTCAGTAGCTGAGCTGTATCTTTTTTATAGTAAGTGTGTTTGTCTGTCTCTGTGTGCCTGTGTATATGAGTGCATGTCTGTCCGTTCATGTATGTCTGTGTGTGAAGCGGTGTTTTCTTAACTGCGCCTGTGTGCATCTGTCAGCAGCATAACTAGGGGGCAGTGAAAGGTGACACCATGCGTTACTGCATCAGGTGAGACCAACCCTTGTGACACCAGTGGGCCAGGGCTCTGTTCTATGGGAGGTCCTGTCCTGATTAAAAGATACCAATCACGGAACCACCAATAATGGAAAAGATAGAATGCACCAGATATTGGTTCAAAGCTGATTTTGACAAAAAAATTCTTGCCAAAGTTTGAAAATCACTTTAAATTCAATTTGAGAACCTGACAATATACACGTTGGCAAATAACTCTCAGTGGTATTTGAAGAGAATATTTTTTCCAACTAGCCCCTATTCAAAGCTCCAGTCCTTTGCTTGTTCAATGAATATTTCCATGGAATGTGTGCAGAAACACTGAGCATTTAGATTTGCAAAGTACAAACCTGTCTACTTTTAGACTGAGACTACAGAGACTAACACTTAATTTACATGGAAAGAGGGAGGGTACTCTCCAACACATACAGATGCCACTTGACTTAACGATAAAAGCAGTTACATTACCTTTATAAAATACTCAAGTTGAGTGCGGAAATTTAAGGTCAGAAAAGTTGACAAAAGGCTGATCTTCTGTAATCAACTTTTGTAAACTTCCATACCATCACAGCAGGCTCCTTGCAGAAGGAGCACCACCTCGCAGAAGTGGGTATGGCATTCTTTGCACAAATAGCTTTCACCTGTTCTCTTAGTTCAATTTTCACATATGCATTTCACACTTTTCTATTGTTTTTCCACACCTTTTCTCTTAGTTTCCAATTTTACCTGTTTCTTTTTCGCTTCTCCCATGCTATCCTCCATCTTTTCATTGGTCTCTCTTTCGTGCTCTCAGCCTTTTTAATTACAAAAATGCTACCCCTTTTTTGTTCCCCATATCCCTTTTATGTACTCCCTGTCTCTTTTCTCAAATTTTTTTCCCATTAACTCCATACCGATCTCACCAATTTTACATGCTCTACCACGTACCACACTTGCTCTACTCTTCTGTTAATATTTACAGCAACTTTACTACTTACTTATATTCCTGCCAAATGCAAGCTACTTTCTTTGTGTCAATCAGGGGAGAGTTGTCCCTCTAGTGTCAACAACAGTGAGGGCTTCCTTGTACAAAGTTCAAAGGGACACTATAGGCACCCAGACCACTTCAGCTCATTAACCCCAGACCACTTCAGCTCATTAACTTCTGGAATAAAAGGGAATCGTGACATGTCATGTGTCCTTAAGGGGTTAAAGTGGTCTGGATGCATATTCCCAGGTCCTCTAACCGGGCAAAGATAATTATTGCAGTTTTTAAGAAACTGCAATAATTACCTTTGTGGGTTAACACCACCTCTAGGTCTGTCTATCAGATAGCCATTAGAGTAACTTCCAGGTCGCTAGGTGACTTTTGGTGGCCTGATGCTGGACATCCTCACGCTATGGATGATGACATCCAGCATCACCCAAAACCCCAAAGGAAAACATTGTATAATTGTGCATTAGGTCTCTCCCGCTGGCTGATGTCAGAGCAGAGGCAGAGCCCCAGCCAGCGCTGAGAGACATCAGCGCTAGACTCAGGTAAGTGACAGAAAGGGGCACTATAGTTTCAGGAAAACAACTACTTTGTTTTCCGGGCATTATAGTTTCCCTTTAAATTCAAAGATGTAGAGGAGGATGTGATGTCCAATAAGATCCACTGTTGCTCGGAGTCAGGACACAAAGTGGAAATGCAAGGTCTGAACAAGTGAGATCATGGTCTGATACGTAGAGATTGTTTACTCTTTCCTATTTTACAGAGTGTTCAAGTAGAGATTGTAGCCGTATTAGTCCAGTGATGTAGATGTGAAAAACAAATAATTTTTTTATCTTGTAATACATTATTTATTGGACTAACAGAATTTTTTAATGAAAAAAGCTCCCGAAAGCTTGTCATTAAAATAATTCTGTTAATCCAATAAAAAAGGTATTACAAGATACAAATGTTATCTGTTTTTTACATCTATTTTAGAGAGATAGGCTCCAAGAGTCTAGGATACATAGAAATATATCAAGGACTCAGGACCAACCTCTCTTTATCCTGCGAACGTCATGGCTAAACTAGAACAGGAATCAACTCTACATCCTAGTCTATACACTAAACCCAGATTTATTGCTATATATTGGAGTAAACATTTAAAGCAACTTAGAAGAACTATGACATAACTAAGCAACTAATTCTCTAATTTGTTATGTAAAACCACTATTAACTCCATCATATCAATATCATGTCAACACCATAACAAATCCAGCAATGAAGAGTTCTGACCAAGTTAATATGTTCTGTAGATATAGCACTGTGGTGCACAATATAAGAGTATTTAAAGGAACACTTTAATCACCATGAAAACTACAGCCTGTATAGTGGTTATGATGGCATAAGTATCAAGGTGCATTAGTGACATGTGGCTGAGAATGTCAGCTGAGCACTCGCAACCAATAAGCACAGGCCTGGATCAGCCATTCTTAGCTCTATTGAGCCATCAAACTTCTTTTGAAGGAGAAGACCTGATACGATGGTGGTACCAAGGTAAGTTGTGAGTATGGTGTTTGGAATGTTCCTTCTACCAGGAAGGATACATTTAAAGAATTCTTTAATAGTTGCAGTACTGAATCCAAAGGTGGTGCGAACAAATTATATATATAGGTTTTTTTTGTAATCAAGTTGTTGTAAACTTAAAATGGATTGTAAAATGAAGGCCCTAATAGCTTTGATTTGGAAAAAAGGTTCAGTCAAGTATTTCTATAAATTTTAACCTACTCAGTTACTACATGCCCACCTCAGTTTTGGAAGCTGGTTAAAACAGGCGTTTAGTAAGTCAGTTGGAATATCTCAGAATCACTGGTTCACTTCATTCATCCCCTTATGATATCAATAAAATTAGTCTCATTAAGTTGGGCAATAATAACATTTGACCCAATTATGTACTTTAACACTGGCAACATGCTTAATATATAATTCATGGTTAAATAGTTTGATATTATTAGGACTTTGGTAATTAAACCCTTTAATATTTTGGAGTAACAGTTGAGCTTCATGAGTCACTTTTGTAAATATCCCCACCTATAATATTCAGCTTTTCATCTTATGATAATGAAGTAGGAAGTTAATTAGGAGGTGGTGGGGTTTTAGTGAAGAAGGCCATAAACAATGGAGTGTTATGGAAAGGTAGAATATATATATATATATATATATATATATATATATATATATATATATATACACACACACACACATACACACACACATACACATATATATATATATACACACACACACACATACATATACACACACAGTGCATGGAGAGTAGAGATCTATAGAAGAATTTAATTTAATTTGAAAACGCAAATAGAAAAAAAAAAAAATGACACTACCATACAGTTTAAATGATTAAAGATTATATTTACGTAATTAAATGCTAGAGGGATCAGCAAAGGGTCACACTGCTCACCCCTCTATCATTCAAAAGTTCAAGGGTAAAACTATCACACATGAAGATAAAACATTTTTATTTTTTTTTAAACAAATCAAATAATCATAATACACTACATGTGATTAATTACTGGCCATATTCCAGTCCATATCCTCCTCTGGACTGTTACTAATAAATTACATAAAACTCACCGAGGTACCACTATAATGCAAAATATTAGCCCCCTAAAAGACTGGTCTTTGGAACAAAAATGGGTGATACAATTACTAACAAGTATAACAATACGCTGGTACATGTGTGTATAATGCCTTTACTATTTAATAGGGAAAAACTGTGCGTTTGCATGTCTGAATGGCAACAAAGATATATATTACACATATACACACACACACACACACATAGTGGGATTTAGGACTTGCTATTCAGCATTGGGTCTGGGAGAATTTAAGAGGTTAAGACAGCACCCAACATGTCCCCTGGGTGCAGCCCGTGCCTTTTTGGGTGTGGAACCTTTCTCTGCCCAAGTTCGTCCACACCCAGTTTTATAGGAACTTTCCCCCATAACATTGTAAGACTCAATGCAGTGCAAGGGATGGGCTGCCCCCCACCCACTGATTAATAACGAAGATCATAAGGTAAAGGGGTTAACAATGAATCGCCCTCTAGTGAAAATCATGCAAACAAAATCCAGAAGCACGCTCAGGAAAATAAAAGTCCCACAACACACCATAGAAACACAAACACTAGTGGCAGTTCATTCAACTCCATAATATGAACTTTATGTGTCCTGAAATATCACAATCTGTTCTCTTCTCGAGGGACTGGTAATGCACAAGAGCATGACAAATGCTAAGCCATTAACATATCTTTAAAAGCCCCCCTGCGCTCCCTTAAAGCTGCATTTCCCCAATTAGTATTTTCCTTCTTACAAAATTAAATCCTGGATTTAGAGCACTATATACCGTATCAATGTCCATTCTACTGCTTTAATAATTTGCACTGCTCACTGCTCACTGATTCTGCCAATGTTCTTTCATGCCATTCCTTTCTTGGGTAACATTACTTCCAGATCTAAGCAAGTATTGCTCCTCAACCAACCCAGCTCTATGAGTTGCTCTCTCTCTTTCCTAGCACAGCATTTTCTCCTTACACATTTTTTTTTTTATATAGCATTTTCTCTCTGACCATGGGACCATACACTGTCACCCCTTAGACATTACCACATGGAGTGCTTGCTTTGCTGTACTCAGTCTAGGTGTCTATGTCAAGTCCATGTAATTGTTTAATTACGCTTCCGTCTACTCATTTACCATAGGAGGTAGATGGGACTGTTAGAGCTAGTTATCTATGCTATCTACAAAATAAATTAAGGCATTACAGAATCCCTCTTTTGTGTTCCCATTTAGGAGGTGAGAGTGGAGCTCATGCATGCTAGTGGTCCCTAAACTAAACTTCTATTTCGTTGGTTTTGTTTTTCTCCCAAGGGCACTATCAGTTTGTTTGACTTCTACTGCCCTCCTCTGAATCACTCTTGGTCTTGCCAGAGGCATCATTTGCACCCCGGTTCTCACTTTCATGGGTCTTCAAATGCTTGGTGAGGTGATCATTGCGCATAAAAACACGGCTGCAGGAAGGGCAAGGGTACTTTTTTGCCCCTGTGTGGGTTTGTAGGTGTCTCTGGAGCTCATCACTTCGAGTAAATCTTTTTCCACAGAACAACCAGTTGCAGACAAAAGGTCGATCTCCACTGTGCCAACGTAGGTGGGCCTTCAGATGGGAGGTCTTGGCATATGCCTTTCCACATCCTGGTATATGGCAGTTGTGCAGATTTTTGCGTTTGGTTCCCTCACCACTGGTACTACCATGTTCTGCTTCTTGGCAATTAGGACAGCGGCAGGCAGTTTGGGCTGAACTACGTGGCATTGCACGCCGGCTTCCTTTAGGACGTGAGGGCCCTTCTGACCCTTGGTCAGAAGAGTGAGATTCCATAGTAGGGTCCAAACCTCCCATGAGATGAGAGGCAGGAGGAAGCATATGTGTAGAGGGGACACAGAGCTCTGTGCCATATCCTCCTAGAGGTGTCTGGTGTGGTGGAGGGCTGGAGAAGCCACCAGCACCAGGTTGCATATCTACCCAGTTGGGACCAGCATGAAGATCCCACCATGGAGGAACTCCACTCTCTTCAACTGAGCCACCTGGAACTGGAGGCCTGATCCATGTTTCATATGGATGAGACATCTCGAGGGCTGGATGCAGGAATTTTGATAATGAATTGCTGTCTACAGCTTCTCGACCTGAAAATGTCTGGCAGGGGACTTTCACAGAGGACAAAGATGTATAACGTTCAGCAGGAGGATAAGAGGACTCCCCAATATCGTCCTGTTGAAGGGAGACTCCCGGATCAGAGTCTGGAGAAAGGGGGTATGGCTTCAAGGATAGTTCAGATGTGGAAGGAGAGCCAGGAGCCTCTGACGGTTGGTTACCCAGAGAACTACATACAGCAGTCAGCATTGCAGAAAAGGAAGTGCCAGGCAAGGGTTATCTGTGAAGGAATAATAAGAACACAGTAAGATACAGTCATATACAGCTAATATATGGCAGAGACCGCAATAGTAAGTACCAATTATTTTAGAGCAAGCAACCTTGACTTCTTAATTGTTGGACTACATCAAGACTGTCTGCCAGCAAACAGTTTGCAGAGATTTTAGAGTAGTACATTAACAGCTGGTAGACTAGATTGGACATCACATTATAATATAGCTATTGTCAGTGAGTCTCCCCACCCCCCTCTCCAGTGACTTTTACCTGGGACCCTATCCTTACCGGTTGCAAAATGTTAGATTAGCCTCCCACCATGATTAGATGTTTTTAGATACACAGAGGAAATGTAAATATAGTTTATCTTTCATCCTAAGTATCCCAGGAGCCGACATCTGTAATAAAGGCCTAAAGAATATAAATTATAGTAATTACTGTTTTTTGTTTAACAAAAGAGGAGGCGGAGAGAGACCCCAAAGATATTGGGGTCAGAAAGTCTGGGGGAACAGTGATTTAACCTGCTCACTGCCATAATTAAATGTTAGTCTACAAAAAGATATATTTACACACACACACACACACACACGATCTGGCGCCTGCAGCAACCCATTTATGCATGTTCAGGTGAGTGCAGCCTCCTGTTTTCATACACATACACATATACACACACACACATTCACAAATACAAATAGGTGTGTGTGTAACAAAAATATAGAGCACTCTAAATGCTTACCAAAACAACCAACAAATGTATTCTAACATAAAAACAGTCTGCTACTTTATTAAACCTACAGTATCACAATCTAATTTAGAACCCAGATGAACAGTGCTTTAAATGATAAGCACATATTGATGTAGGAATCAATTACAATCGAGGAGGGTGCAGACTTACTTACTGAGAAAGTGTACACCAGCTGGAAGGCGCGTTGTAAGTGGCATTCTATGCCAGTGGAGCATTGCAGTATTTTGTGCTTGTGTGCACAAAAGTGGTAATTTCTTACTTTATAGAAAGGTAACTAGAATTTTTGTAACTGAAAAATGAGCACATTATGCAAACTGCCTCACCCTTTAAACATTGAAAAATTGCCTATTTCTTAGAAACAAACCACATTCAGGAAGGTCAATTCTTTTTTTATTTGAAAAATAAAAAATAAAAAAAAAAGAAGCTCAGACATTCTTAAAAAAACAAAAAAAAAATAAACCAAAAAGTATCTTTAAACCTGATCTAAAATCTCAGACACCTTTGCCTGACAACCCTTTATTTCTAGGTTTCACATGTATTTAAGCAGCACAGATACACCCCAAAATGTATTCTGCAGAACTGTGATGGATTTAAAAACCCTCATCCCATTACCTTGACACATATTGTGGAAAGCTAATCCAACATTGATTGCCTGAGAGCCTTCCTGGAGTTTTATATTGCATAGGTAATAAGATTTCAGTTCAAATAAAGATACGCCCATGTCATGATTTAGAAAACGGATGCCACAACTTAAACTTAGGTATGTCTGAAAGTACCCTAACTGATGCACCCACCATATATTGTTATGTTAAGGGGGAGAGGGGGGAGAGGGAGGCAGGACATACAAAATGGACAGATACTATTTGATGGAAGCAAAAATTCCTCATTTGACATCACAGAACCAATAAGCAATGGTTTATAGCTGCAGTGATTTTGCGATTTCATGCAGTTGTATGCCACTCTAAGCACAAGGAGAGTGAGTACATGGTACTCTAGTCAGTAATTTAGTGAGACCCAACACGCAGTGTGTAAATAATGATATAGGTATATATGTAAACCGGACCTTAGAGTTGCCGGACTTAACATAACAGAATGGTCAGGCTCATGCTAGAGTCAAAGATACCAGAAATCAGGAAAGGGAGGAATTGCTGAGACAAGGCGTATAGATAGAATAGTCAATAGTAACCAAAATCTAAACCAGATAGACAAAAAGAGATATAGAACACACTACTGCATAGTTTACATTACAAAGCACTATTGGGAAACAAAACAGAAGTACAACAAGGCACAGACCTGAAACCCAGCAAACTATTTATAATTATCTAGGTAGTCACACCCCCAAAAGTTTTAAAATGCGGATTTTCATAGTGCTTGACATCATGTCATCAGCGCGCACATACCGCATCATAAAAGAGGGCCAAGTCACAGTGTCCAGGTGTTTGGAACGCTAGAGGAGGAAGAATGACCGTAAGGAAGTCCACAAACCTGCAGGCTGTGTTCCGGTAAACAAGAGACAAGTTAGACAAGTCTGACAACGCTCTGTACCAAAACCTTTGCAATAAGACTCTCTCATATGCAACATAAGTGTTCTTTCTTAACCTACAAAAAGCTATTTCTAAACATTGTGCTCATGATTAGAACAGAAGACCGCGTAAAAATGTAATTATCCAAATATTCAATCCAATTACTGGCCACGGGGTATCTACATGAAAGTTACATGACTCTTTGTCTCATCCAACACCTTCTGTTTTACTGTAATTGGTCCAAAAAGCAAACAAATGTAACAAACTTCTACTTAACCAACTTGTGTTCAAAACATAAAATTGGATGCTAGATTGATATATCTCTATTTTACATCAGCTCAACTTTATGGTTTAGTGAAATTTCACTTAAAATTTCAATTAAGAATTACGTCAATGGACTGAAGCTCACTCATGGGGAGCATCTGCTTGATGAATCTGAAAGCCTCACTTGTATCTGGAACAAATCACAACTTAATATTACAAAAGAATCCTCATGTAAACATCAAACAATTGGCACCAGTTCTTATAAACATCTTATGTGGCTAGATATGGCCCTCTCATTTGGACTTCATTTAGACTATTGAACCATCATCTAATTTATAAACTGTAAAAATGGTTCAGAAACAAGTCATAAAAAGCATAGGACAGTTATGGTTACTGATTAAAAGCAACACTCTGTAAAATAAATTGGGTCTTTTCTTTCTGCATTCTGATTACTATAGCCATCATGTGACATGTTAAAAGATCTAAACAGTCCAATAGTCTATTCCAAATATAGCTTGTTTCATATTCACTTCTTCGATAAGCTACATATCTAATAAAATGCTTACCTGTGCATTTCACAGTCCCTACAAGTTAAGGTCTATTTCCAGCACTCCATACTCTCCAATGCATACTACAAGGAAGTTGGTTCACAAACCCGCAACTAAATCAGCTGATTCCATCTCCATGTACAGCAAACCTTTAACAACTGCTAAAGGCTAAAAATGTTTGGCATTTGTTTAATGTGTACCATTCTTAAACTGATGTATTGTTTAGGCATCCTAAGATGAATGAAAACCGTGAATAATCTCCTATTCTACTTGGTAAAATAAAGAAAATATTAAGTCGTAGATGGTAAGTGGCACTGTCATATCCGAGGTTTTAGCACAACTCTTTAGCTAAGAAAAGTTAGCTATGGGTTTATGTATTAAACAAAAAATGAATCAAAATCTGTACTTTACATTTTATGCCTAGCTGTATATACCATCCAAAGTAATTTAACCCCTACATTGCAATGTATGCATAAAGTGCTTCTGATGGAATTCCTGAGTGCACAAGCACCCAAGTGGCATTTCTCCCAAGTATGCGCGTCAATACAATTTACTGGGAATGAATAACTTATTTACTGGTCATTTGCAGACTACTTTTTATAAAAAAAGATACATCTTATGAAAATCTTCCTTACATTTGGATTTTTCATATCTGCTAATCTTCTCTCGGCACAGCCTGACTGCAAGTGAGGTTTGCGCAGTACCAGGAGAGATGAAAGAGGTAAGTGCTCTAAACATAATTCTGGTAGTCGTCACACCTAATATACAATTCAAGGCATCTTAAATATTCTTTTAATTTGTACTACGGAGTTGTACAAACACCCGAGTTTAGGTTTTATTTAGATTAAATCCCGGAGTTATAGCATGTATAGTATTTGTATTGTGCGCATTACTTTTCCTCTGCTAAACTCTGAATTGTAGAGTACAAAACATTATTTACATTAAAATAGCCAAATTGTAAACATTTTCAAAAGTTACTTTTTAATCTTCATTACTTTGCCTGGACATTTTCTCTACTATTTACATAGAATTTAGACTTTAATCTTTAACCAAGGGCTTAAAAAACATTTTATTTCATTCAGTATGTGTGGATGATTAAATACCTCAAAAGGAAGATTTCTTAGAACTCGGAATTAAACAAAATCTGGCAGTAAATGGAGGCAAGAATATATGTTAACCAGTGGTGTACCTAGGGTATGGCACATGCCCTTGGAGTCACTTAAAGAATGGGGACTCCACGTGAGAGCCTGATTGAGCCTCCCTCAATCAGAGATCAAAAGATCTCCCCGCGCTGCCCTTTATATAGGACTCTCTGGTATTCCATGGTTCAGCCGTACTCTCTCAGGGTGCTGGCTCACCCCCAAAAAGCTGTCACTTCCTCACACACATGAAACATAGTCTGATCATAAACACAACACACAAAAACCACTAGCAACTCCCATTAAAAAACAAAAAAAAACAAATTTAAACTCACAAACCTCCCGTCCCCAATGACCCCAGTACTACGTAACAGAGCATTCCCACCTGGACTAAGGGCAAGAGACTTTAAAGGCATAGAAGCCACAGGCCTACAACGCTATATTCACCTATATATCGACAACCAACTACTACCATACCAACACTTACAAACCCTGGCCCCATTACAAACCCGCAATTTCTTCCGATACATACAAATCGCGAGATTTTGCACAAACCAAAGAGGTCAAAACGGCAAATGCCAAACCTCTTACTTTCTTTGAGCAAATCTGTCTAAAAGAAAAAATGCCAGTGAAATTAATTTCACTGTTATACAACCGCATATGCTTAGAATCAGGAACATGGGGAACACAGACATACACAGACAAATAGGAAGCAGATCTGGGTGAAACGTTAGAGGGGACAGAGTGGCAAGATATATGGGAGGCGAACACAAAAGTGTCTACATGCACAACCCTCCAGGAACAAACATATAAAACAAAGCTCCGGTGGTATACAAGCCCAGTGAAGCAATACCACATGCAACTCTGCCCCACAGACACCTGTTGGCGACTATGTGGGGAAAAAGGCACCTACATCCACATGTGGTGGCAATGCACCAAAGTAAAAGAGTTTTGGGGAAAAATAGTAGACATGAATACCAAAATCTTACATCGACGAATAACACTGGACCTTTGGGCATGCCTTCTATCACGACCGACAGATGGACTAGACAAACACGACCAAAAACTTCTGAACATGCTTAATCTAGCAGCTCAAAAAGCATTGGCACAATACTGGATAAACCCTGAGACACCCCCACTATCTCTAGTAATTTCCAAAATCAGAGATAATTACTTAATGGACAAGATGACAGCAAACGTCCGCAACACCAACACCACATTCCAAAAGGTATGGGCCCTTTGGGAACAATATGATGAAAAACCATAAGACAAATGAGCATCCACTCACAGACGACTACTCACTCATGCAGTTCTAAGTTTTAACTATAATTTCATTCTATTTTATCTTGTTCTTTTTTCTTTTATACATATTTTCCTGTACATGTTATGCATAAAACGAAAAAAAACCCCCCCCCAAAAAAACCTTGACAGGCGAAACGAAAACTAAGCGATGGCGGCCTCTACACAACCCACATGGAATATCTCAAAAATATATATTATGTACACTAATAACCCAGCTTTCCTTTCTGTAACATGATTAATGCGAAATTGAAGAATGGGCTTCTGCATAAGCCGACACTGATATCACCTTAAATGTCTGTCAATGCAAAAATAAAGAATTAACACAAAAAAAAACTAACAAAAAAAAAAACCACAAACAAACAGTGTAAGTAACTACTCCACACACATACGCTCCCAGACACAGACATAAACATGGACACTGAAACAGAGACACACATTCAGACACAAGAATGCTCAGGCACACTCAGTCAGAATCACGCGCGCACGCACACACTAGACAATGCAGCTCACTATATATTTATTCAGGAATAGATGCAGGCTGCGATGGCTTCCATCTATATCAGTTTTAAACTTACCCCCATCTCACTTTGAATGCCCCTACACATCCTGTTACTCATCCTCCTCCTAGGTCCACACTGGCAAGGTTCTTATAAGTCATGAGAGTCAGAGTGAGCTTCTGACCTCTCTGTACACGGATTATGACCAGGGCATCAGGAAGCAAGGTACAAGGCACCTCTCTCCACAAGGTACATAGCATAGAATTGCCTATTTATATATACATATGTGCATATATGACCCTTCATTTGTTAACGTGTTTCATTGTTGTTTAGTTGTTATAAATGTTGATTTATTAATTCACTGCTCTTCTAGGAAGTGTTCTAACTGAAAGCAAAAACTCCTCTCTGACTTCCTTTGTGGCTGTGAAGAAACTGTTGCCTTATGCATAAATTACATATGCAGAGAGATGATTGTAATGCAATTGTCCCTCAATTATGGAGACTCTAAGATGGAGAGAGGGCAGTGGGGTATGTGGAATAATTATGTTTCACTCTCAAAGTCTTAAAGAATAAAATGAGTCGGTGCTCCCACATGCCAAAACATACTTTATTGACTTTATTTATAATCCTTATTAAAATACACTATAGGCTTAATTAAGCAGTTTGGTGTATAGAACATGCCCTGCTGTCTCACTGCTTAATTCTCTGTCATTTAGTTAAAAATAATAACTAGGGGCGTGGTTTGGCGTTGGACGGACATGGCCGCCTAATATCCCAGCTCTGCTCCTGGCTGCAATAATAAGCCCGACATCAGCTCACTATGGCGCCCACGGCCCGTGCAAAAAAGGTACAAATGACCAGCTCCACGCCGAGAACACAGTGGGACACCCCTCACCCCTCAATACGGAGCTATATGCCAACCCCCATAGTCTTACGCACGCAAGGGGAGACATCAAACATGGTGCCGTCCTCGCCGAGCACGTTGTCGGAAGATGGCTCCCACACAGACATCAGCATGCCTACAGCATCCACTCCAGACTGGTATGCCCTGTTTGTCTCCCTACCTAAAAAGGAGGACATCCACTCTCTCTTGGAGGAGGTGAAATCTGCACTTCACACAGAAATGTGCTCTCTCACCACTTCACTCATAGCACTGGAGGCAAGAGTGACGGCCCTGGAAAGCAGGGGTCCAAGTCAGCAGGGTCCTATCCTGCCATGCCCAGCATTATAAACTACCGCCACCATGCCAAGCAGCTGCAGGACCTGCGACTCCACGTGGAGGATCTTGATAATCGGAGCCGCAGGCACAACATCAGGGTGAGAGGCTTGAGGGAGGCAGAAAATGTGGACAACGCAGAAGATGTCAGAGGTCTGTTAGTACCGATGTTTAACCACATACTGGGCCGCCCCCAGGAAGCCCACATACGCATAGACAGAGCCCACCGGGCCCTCAGGCACAGACCGCCTCCGAACGCACCACCTAGAGATGTAATATGCTGTATACAAGACTTCCAGCTCAAAGAAGAAATAATGCGAAAAGCACGCACGGGTGGGACCTGGCGGTTCAAGGGGCAAGTCATTGAACTCTATAATGATCTCTCTCATCTCACTTTACAAGCTCGACGAGTCCTGAGGCCACTCACTACTACCTTGCAAGACCTGCAAATTCGGTATAGATGGCAATTCCCTTTCGCTCTAACAGCCAGGCGTGGGAACACTGAAGCTACAATAAGGACACCGCTAGATGTGCCAGCCTTCCAAGATGCCCTGGACCTCCCGCTCACCCACATCCAGGACTGGACCAACTGCCCTATCAACGAACGGTATGCGGGGAGACCAACACATAGACCTTCCCGACCGGGGAATGATCCTGATGCATTGTTCACCCCTCTGGCTCAAGCTGACCCAGAGGAATAAAATGGGTACCCCCCACGTATTGCCCGGAATGACACACTGATTTAGCCCTGATGTTTTACTGGCCATGGAAACTTGATTTATTTTATTTTAATTTTTTTATTTCTCTTCTCACCCTCTCCCCCTCCCTGTGGCCACATCGCCTCTTAACCCAATGCAAGATAGGCATAAATGTTTGTAATTGCATGATAGGCTGTAGTTAAAATTAACTCACAATGGTACTAACTTGGTTCTTAAAGCAAAAACTGGTAAAACCATAGCTCCGAATGTGGTAAATTGCTCCACCACCCTACAGTCGTCGTCTTCCCAAAAAAATCCCCCCCTTTTTTCTCCTCTCTTTCACCCATTCCCCCTCCCGTGAACACACCATCTCTTAACCTAACACAAGACATTCGTCCAGGTTTGTAACCACATGAAGGGCTGTATTCAATGTTAAATCACAATGGTATTGGCATGGTTCTTAATGCAAAACTGTTAATCTCATGGCTCCATATATGGCAAATTGCTCCTCCACCTTACACCCCAATACTTTACCCTCTCTCTGATTACTATTTATTTTTTTTTATTTTTTTTTTCCCCTCTCTCTTTTTCCCTTCCTCTTCTCCCTCCTGTGTCCTTATCAGCTCTTAACCTAACATTTGCTAAAAATCGTAACCGCATGCGGAGCTATACTCAATGTTAAATCACAATGTTAATGGCTTTGTTTTGAAAGCAAACTATATTAGCCTCATGGCTCCAAATGTGGCAAAAAGATACCCCACCCTACACCCCAATTTGTACAGATGCTTCCACAAGTGCGATATACAACAATCTGCGTTCCCATCCCAAGATGGGAGCTATATCCTCTTGCTCGATGGCAGCGACGGGGGTGGAAACTGACTTACACGGTTCCTCCCTACTCTATTCGCTTTGACCAATGACCTGTCAGACCCACACCACCCACTGCTCCACGGGCTTACTGCCATTAGTCTGGGAATTGGACGAGCAGGATAGTCTGCCTGCACGATCACCTACCAGCGGCACATTACCCCTACAAAGAGTCGCTATCGCGACATACCTCCTCCCTCTCTTTCTGCACCACACAGACACCCCTTCTTCCCCAACTACACTCCTGCTCCCTCTACTGCTTTCCCTACCACCCTCCCTTCCTCGCCTCCCTCACCCGACCCTCCTTACAAACTCTCGGACGCCAACTATATCTCCACCAACTAGGCCTGGCCCCGCGGCCCTCTTCCCCACCCCTCTCCACCATTGGCTCGTCCTCTCCCGCCTCCCCTCTCTCGGGTGCCAAGAGGGGGCCGCGGGGAGGTATCACACTCTACACGATCAACGCAAAGGGGCTCAACTCCCCAACAATAGGGGGAGTTGAGTGCTTGAGAACACCGAGCACTGCGGGTGCCGATCGCCTTTTTCCAGGAGACCCACTTCCCCGGTGGCCGAGCACCCAGGTTCTCAGACAAATACTACCCCACCGGCTATTTCGCACACAACCCCTCGTCTAAATCAAAGGGAGTGGCGATATTGTTCTCAGCCAGCATGCAATTCCGCCTAGAAGCGGAAAAAGAGGACACAGGCGGCAGATATCTCTTTTTGAAAGGGCACATAGGTGATTCCCTAATTACACTCGCAAACATCTACCTGCCTAACAAGGGACAGAAACCTAGCCTCCGTTTTTCACAAGCTGGAATCGTTCGGAGAGGGGACCCTCATCGTGGGGGGGGGGGACTTTAATGTCCTCTAGACCCCAGGCTAGACACGTCCAAATGGACCTCCACAGTACCGGACCATGTGCTCTGAGGCATGAGGACCCTCCTCTCCGAGCATCAGCTCTCAGACTGCTGGCGCACCCTACATCACGCTGATAGGGATTACACCTTTTTCTCCACA